AACAAACTACAATAATATAATTCTAAAATAAAGAAATAAAAACACACACACAACACAGGCTCTACCCAACAAACCTACGTACATGGATGAAACTAGATGGCAAAAAAGGGTGTTGAGTAGGTCTTCACAATCTTAGGTAATGGCGAATGAACCGACCGCCAACACGAACAAATTCACGTACTAACAACTCTAAGGAATCACATCAAGCATCAAAGTTATTTAAAGCCAAAGAAATTTAAATCCCAGTTAATCATAATTGAGAAATCATAATCCCAACACGGGACCACAAGGCCTCGAAACAGAACAAAATCATTGTTGTGATGGTGTCAACCCAAACTCCTCGAAAACTGCAGATCTCAACAAATCTGAAAAGAAATAGAGATTTGAGGCAAGTCACACCTTTACCAACCAAAAATTCAAAATAAACCCTTGCATATTTTTAAGGGTGAAACAAAACCATCAGTCCGCCAGAGAAGCCCGAAACATCCTGCTTGAGAACCACCATAACCAAAACAATAAATAATAGTCCACCAGAGAACCACCTTAAATTTGTGCAACAGTGCAAGAGGAAAAATGAAAAAAAAAAAAAAAAACCTCTAACGAAGCAAAAGGGTGGTGCGGAAGAAGAAACTCGTCACACCACTAAAAAGGGAAGCTACATGGTGACACAAAAGTTTGGATTTTGAGAGAGAAAGAAAGGGTGACAGCTATGTTAAAGAAAGGGAAAAAAATATAGAACTGAGTCTTACAACGCTCAGTGTGAACGTTCGTAACCCCACTTCTTATGTTTTTATCACAAATGGGTTGTATATGTTGTTAACTTACATCTTATCATTGGTTTTAGTGGTTGTACATTTGTTCTCTTCTTTCAGTGCACACCTTCTATATTTAATTAGATGTCTTAATATATTTGAATTATTAAAAAATTTAAAATATCATTAACAAAATAATAGTTATGAATTTTGAAAACAACAAATAGCTAGTAACACAAATGTTTTTAAAAAAGACAATAAAAAAATAAAAATAAAAATAAGGCTTAATTGCAACTTTGGTCCCTCTATTTTGTATTTTTTCGATTTTGGTCCCCCATTTTAAAAACCAAGATTTTGGTCCCCCTTTTGAATTTTCTGTTGAAAAATGAACAAAAATAGGGACAAATTATAGAAAAAAACAAAATAGGAGGACGAAAATTGCACAGAAAACTTAAAAAGGGGACTAAAATAGTGGTTTTTGAAATGGGGGGACCAAAATAAATTAAAAAAACAAAATAGAGGGACCAAAGTTGCAATTAAACCTAAAAATAATAAAGAAAATACAAATAAATTTATCAAAACTAATATAAAATTATCGATTTTCTTACACTTAACTAACCTCAAAACAACTAAAAATGAATGGCTGTGTAATATGAAAAACTATCTAAGTGCATTTGAATGAGATGGTAAGGAATTTCTTCCAACTTAACTAGAGATCTCGAGTTACAATCTAGCCATAAACACGTAGCTATGGTAAATTCTCTCGAAAGAGATTTTCGCCGCTCATTTTGGTCCTTCATGATTCAAAGGATTGGTCTTTTGCCCTAGCCATAGGCACACAGCAATGATAAATTCTCTTGAAGGAGATTTTTTCTGCTCATTGTGGTCTTTCATAATTGAAGGAATTGGTATTTTGTCATAGCCATGGAAACGTAGCAATGACAAATTTTCTTGAAGGAGATTTTTGTCGCTTATTGTGGTCCTTCATGATTCGAGGGATTGGTCTTTTTCCATTGAGGACCCCTACTAAAAATAATTTTTGAAGGTATCTTTATTTACTTTCATTGGAGTGTACACGGGGATGCAAAAAAGAGGAGAACACCCAACATCTATTTCTGGATTGTGAGTTTTTTTGTCAAGTTTAGAACAATGTTATGGTGTTGGTGCTCAGGTGCTACAATTTTGTGGAGCCCATTTGTTTAGAAAAGAAGCTCGTCAGTGTTTTCAAGTCATCTAGTTGACAATTGTTAGAGTTATCTAGAAAAAAATATGAATCTTCTACAATAAAGAAACAACCTTATTGCATTTGGTCGACAAGGTAAAAATTCTCTCTTAATAGTGGCTGATGGTCAAAAGGTCGAAGGTGATTTTTTATCACGTTAGAGGTGTTTTTATATTTAAGTTCTTGGTGGACTTAAAACACCCCGTAAAGAGGATACACTACAAGAAATATCATCTCTAGCCACATGTTTTTGCCACGTGATTATCATGTGGCTAAAAAAAGCCAGTTGCGATGTGATAAGTAAATTTATGTTTATATTTTTTTTTTTTTTAAGCAATTTTGTGACGTGATTTTCACGTAGCAAGTGAGATGTTGTGGCGTGAAAATTGAGTGGCAACTGATAAGTTGTGGCGTGAAAATTGAGTGGCAACTGATAAGTTGTGGCGTTACAATCATGTGGCTATATGTTTTTTATTATTATTTTTATTTAATTTAATTTCATTAATTTTAGTTATATATTTAACTTGATTTTTTTATTGTATGTGTAGGAGGATTATCAGGCCTTGCTTGTAGAATTTCTGACCCATAATCCTCAGTATACTCCTCCTCCGGGAAAACCGGTTCATCCAGATGTGGATTTCTATATTTGGAGTCAAGTTGTTGGGGGAAAGGGCCCTAACGGGTGTTTTTTTGGTGGTAGAAATTTGGCGGGCATCTTGAGGAGTGGGGATAGAACTCTGTATCAGAGAGCTACGGACGGTGAAGGAGGGTCACATCAAACAAATTTGACACCAGATCAATTAGAAACGGTAAGACAATTGGCTAGACGCGATACCTAAGAACGTGAGGCTGCATTGAAGGCCCAAATGGAGGCGACATTGAAGGCCCAAATGGAGGCAATGAGGGGTGAACATAATAGAGAAATGGAGGCAATGGCGAAGAGGCAGGCTGATATGGAGGAGCAAATGCGACAATTTATGCAAGCATTTGGTGGAAATCCCAACAATGGTGGCCAAAATAATAACCACCAAAATAATGATGACTTTCTTCGCGATTTTTCCGACAACTCGAATGATCCTTCTGCTTAATTTTATTTTTATTTTCTATTTAATTTTTTATTTGTGTACTAATATAAATTTATAATCATATTTTATATTTAAAAATATTAAATTTTAATTTTAGTTTATTAATTTTATTATATTAATTTATATATTTTAATATATTTAGTTTTATTTTTGATAATTTGATTTATAATATTGAATTTAATAAATAAATTATAATATTTAATTTATAAATTTAATGAAACAGAAAATAGTATTAATTATTATATCAGAATTATTATATTTAAAATAGAAAATAATTTATTTTTAAAAAAAATAAGTTGCGACGTGTTTTCCACATCACTAATTAGTGACATGAAACACACGTCACAACACACAACGTAAAAGTAAATATAAAACCTGCTCTGACCTCTACTCTGCTCTAACTGCCTTTGACCCCATAAAGTTTGTTACGTCGTGAATTTCACGTGGCAACGTTGTGACATGTTTCCCACGTCGCAACAACATTGTCACGCGCTCTCCAACGACGTGTTTCTTCAGGTGACAAAAATAAAGTTGTGACATGATTTTGGTGTTAGCAACGTGGGAGTCACGTGGCAAAACACAACTTATTTTGTAGTGATATGTGTTAGCTCAAAATGAATATTCATCTGAGTCCCACATCGAATAAAAAGGAGAAAAAATTAGTAAATAATTACTATACATAAATATAGCTAGGTTGAATTTTCTTAATAACACTAGCCTCTTAAGTATAATTAGGTTTGAGTAATTGTGTGTCATAAGAGTGTTTTTAATTTTTTCATGTAAATAAAATATAGTTAGGAGGAATGTAATTTTTTCTTCCAAAACTCTAGTGGATAAAGTTTACAATTTTTCAATATAAAAATTGTATATGAGAGCGTTTGCAATTTTTCTGTCTTAAATTTGTAGCCGAGGAAGAAGTGAAGAAGAAAAAATTCAAAAGTTTGAATCAAGTGAGGAAGAGAAGCAATATCATTTTATTTAAAAGTTATGTCATTCGAAAGATTAATTATCATCTTATTTGCATTTATCTAATAGTATTGTAGGGAGAATTGTATTGATAGTATTGTAGTTTTATTGAAGTTGGATGTACCTTTATCTAATAGGGAGAATTTTTGACAATATACAATTTCAAAATTAAGGATTTAAAGAGTCTACAAGACAATATAAACACGTTAGAAAATGCTAATTTTACAAATATAATTAGCGATTATAATGATAAAAAAAACTCTTTAAAGATGAAGTTGAAAAAAAAGTGAAAAAAAAAATGTGAAACTTTAGATAACTAAAGAATATGATATCATAATTGTGTCGGTGTTCACACGCTACCATTATGTGGAGCCTATTCGTTTAAAAAAAAAATTGCGGATCTTGTGCAACAAAGAAACAACCCTATTGTATTTTACAAAACAGTTTTTTACAAACAAAAACACATGAAAAGACTTGAATCAACTATTTTTTCTTGTTAGTAATTATATTATCTATTGACTTGCCAGTTGCCACCATCATTATTACCACCAATTTTTTTGTCAAAAACCAGATTCAATCAAACTTAGGATATAGAATGATATGAACCTAAGTAGAAACTATGTCATTAATTGTAACTAACGTTTCCATTGTCTTCACATGAAAAATCCAAACACCAAATCCAAAAAAAAAAAATTAAAACACACAAGAAAACAAAGCAAGAAAACAAGTATTTTGTCAATAACCATAGTTATACTAGTACTTAGAAAAATATAAACATTTATAAACGATACTAACCATGCTATTATTTTCTTTAGGCATCTCCGTCTCATAATCATAACCATCATCCCATTATATATATGCATAATACAAACCCTAAAGTTCATTAAACTCATTATGTTAGCTCCTACTTAATTTCATGACTTAACACTAATTCTTGTAATAATTTCTTAAATATTATTTACCATAATCATAATTATGGGTGCTAAGCTTTGTACATTATCAGGGTTATCTTTCAAGGATTGTATCAAACCTAAAGAAAACAGAACTTTGAAAATGAAGAAAGTGAAGAAGATTAGTAGGAAATTAGGTTTTGTAGATGATTGGGTATTAGATTCTCAAGAAATGAAACAGTCCAAGAAAAAAGTGCACCCTTGTTCAACTCGGTTTCGCGGTGAGTTAGCTAAGGACAGTTTATGCTTAAGCTTAGTGGAAAAAACTAAGAACCGTCTTGAAGAAGTTGATGAAGGGTTGACTTCATATTGTTCACGGAAGATTAATAGAGTGAGGTTTAAACTTCCTCATACTGTTATATATTACGAACCAGAAGAGTCTTATTATGAAGAAGATGATGAAGAAGAAGAAAGAAGAGAAGGGTTGTTGAAGGCTTATTATGATAGTGAAGAATACTCCTTTTCATCACCTAACTGGAGAGAACTGTATTCATTTGAAACCACTGAGGAACCTATTTTGAAACTAGCTGTGGATACTCTTCCTCATGTCTTTGTCTCTTCCAAAGTTTCAATTTGATCCTCAATGATGAACATGTTTTGTCTTGGATGCATATTGGTTTGTTATGTCTTAGATTATTTTTATGTTTTGATTATATTTTCTATATTGGAGCAACATGATTTACCAAACATATTGTAGTAGTGTAATGATGGAACCATGTTTAAAGATTTTTTATTACTCATTTTAATATTAAAAGAATACAAAATACAATTAAGAGATATGAGCTCTACAATATAAAAAAAAGTTTAATTGAAATGTATGCACTGTGTAAAATAATTCTACACTGTCATTCAATAAAAAACAAACAATGTGTTATGTCATTTAATTCTTTTTTAAATAAAAGTATAATTTAATTGAATACATAGTTGTAATTGGTTGACAGTATAATATTATTTCACACTAGCAATGTATCAATCTGTATAAAAAAGGTAAAATTAATAATAAGAATGATATACAATAAGTTGAGTGCTACTTTAATATCCCATGTCCTCTTAAACGTTTTAATTATTGTCATTTGAGATAAATGGAGTAATTAAAAATTCAGAAGATATTAAGATTTATTTAATTCGACGGACCTTTGCTAATTGACAAAAGAAATGATATTTTGGTAACTTTGTTAAATGATCAATTATTCACTAGGAGACGAAACACCACTTAAAAATATTTTCTTTCTTTATATATGTGTGTGTGCGCGTGTGCGTGTGCGTCTTGTTGGTAAGAATAGAAAGAGAAAAACAAGAGAAGAGAAAGAAGGGTACAGAGAATGAAGAAGAAAAACTTAGAAGAAGAAAGCTCATGGAAGAAGGATCGTCATCATCATCACCATCAAAGCACCTCAATTTCATCATCATCTTCTTGGATTAAGGTGAGTTCTTATATAGCTTTAGCTTTTGGGGGAAATTGCATGAGAAAAGGGATTTAGGGTTTTGTGAAATTCATGATTCATGCATTTGTTATGTTTTGTGTTATTATTGATAAACCATGATATCATATTGTGTTGATGTCAGATATCATGGTGTATTGGTGGTTGTGTTATTGTTAGATTGATAATATGTTCATATATTGCAAAATTATGTGTTGAAACTATGTGGTGGTTGTTTCTTATTATTGGGAAATGTTGATACATGATGCTCATGTTGTCTTGCATGTTTGCTTGTGAAAGATTCATGAGGTTTGGTGTTGAATTGTGTAGCATGAAACTCTATGAGTTGTGTTGTGGAGTTTTATATGGTGATGTTGTGAGAATATGTATTGAGGTTGTGTTGTTATGGTTGTTGTATGATGCCATGACATGTTTGATTTCATGACATGAAGTACTTGAGTATGTTAGTATATGATTTGGAATGATTTAAGATGGTAAAGGATGGAAGAATATGAGTTTATAAATGATATTTTTTAGAAAAGTTACAGTGACAATCGATTGCACCCCTGTGATAGTCAATTGTCCTGCTCAGATTTTTATTTTTCACGCTTGACAGAGTTGGGGAAGTTAAGTGGCAATTGATTGCTTCCTCTGTTTTTAATATAAAATTAGTTCCGTAACTCAGAGTGAGACATGGTCGGATGTGTTGGAAAGCTAGTCCAATGTTTTACTGATTGGTGAATAAAATCATGCTTATATGTCAAATATAATTTGGTTGGTGATGTTATACTATCATGTATGTTTGTGATTTATTTCCTTGTTTCTACCATAAAATGGGATTCGTAGCTCCAATTGATGTGGGGTTGGATAAATTGAAAAGCTATTCCAATTATCTACCATTTAGTAAAGAGAAAATCGTGCTTGTGTTCCAACTGGATATTGGTTATTAAATAATATGTGTGTTTATGAACCATATTAAGATGTGATTGTGTTTGTGAACCATGCTATGATTTATTGGATGTGTTAATTATGTAATAATATGATTAAAACCTTATCATGATGAGTGAGGAAAACTTAGGAGTATAACCATGTGAATGACTTAGAAAGATAACTTAGTTTATGGTAAATAACTTAGGTTGAAACGCTCGAATGTAAGAGGTTCCTCAATGTTCATCCATGTGTGAGTAATTGCTAGAGATGGATTGTTCCATTTATGAAAAGTGTCGGATGGCACGAATGGTTAATGATGATGCAATTGTAAACTGAACTACCTCATATAGAAACATGATATATTATGGTTGTAACAAAAATCCATGTACTACGGGCACGGGTCATGGAATCCAATTGGATACTTTGTTGTTTCATTCCTGAATCACGATTTATCGAGTTATGTGAACTCAAGTTACATGTTTCTATATAATGCGAATATCCCTTAGATTCTAAAGTCTTAATTATGTTGTGTGAGATAAATAATTGAGTTAAGAATCGTTAAGAGATCTCTTTAGAGCTGAGTGGACCCATAGGATAGGGGAACTCATTGAGATTATTATCTTACCCCATTATTATGATTGTTTTTCAGGTGATTTCTTATAGGTTAAAGGCAAGAGTAAGCTTGTTGATGATGTTTTGAAGACTTTCATTATCTTGATCTTTTTCTATGGATTATGTGCAATGTGAATATTGTACCTAGATCTTAGAATTTTTGTTTAGGAAATTTTTCATATCATGTGCCATATGTTGTATTTTATATATTGGACATGTATGTAAATGATGTCGTCAGACACTTATGTTGTGTCAGTACCAAAATTAATATTTGTATGGTATTATTCATGATATATATTATACATGGTGTTACAGCTACCTCATTTTGCATGACAAAATTAATTCTCCTAAAAAATTATGTTCAAATTTTTAGGAGACTCAACATTTGTATGTGTAAGCCTTTGGACTCTTTACGAAAGGTCTATTGTGTCGGATGCTAAGACTATTAGGCTTTAAAGGAGTTTTATATTTAGTGTGGTAAATGGGAGTCCAAGATTTGTGAGGTTATGGAGTCAATTATGTGTAAGCCTAAGAATAGAGTTAGGCTTGAGCAGCAAAGGGGTGTCAAAGATTTGTCGGGTTATGCGATCAATCATGTGTAAGCCTAAGAATAGACTTAGGCTTGGTGGAAGAAACTTTTGTTTGGTGCTCTTCTTGGTAAGATAGAAGATGATTATAGACTGATGTGGCATGTGGTATGAGATCCTTTCAGATCCCTAGGTTATCAAACTATAAAGAGCTTTGGTAGTGGTAAGGTGACAAGTTTTATGTGGACTTTATCTTAGTGGAAAAGTGTTTCCCTTCTTGGCTTGAACCAATCAACTGATTTGGAGGGGAACAGAGAGGAGGGCTTCAATAAAAAGAAGGATTAAGGGAAAATAATGTAAGGATTTAAATGGGGAGGGTTTTGAGGGAGTTATTTTTATCGAAAAACCAAAATATCCCTAATTTGGGGGAAATAAAAAATTGTATTGGAGAAGGATTTTGGAGGGCTTAGACAAATTGTTCAAATATAATTTCGGCAAAATTACATTTTTGGTCCTCCAATTATCTGATTCACGAAATTAGTCCCCCTACTTTAAATTCAAACAGTTTTGATCCCATCTCACGTTAAAAATTGATGAGATGTGAGATATATAACTTCTTATCTATAAAGTTCTACAATAAATTTATATGATGATTTGTCATGTTTCCCAAGAAATTTGTCATTTAAAGAATGGTAACATCGTTAATTTTAAGTGCAAAAGTATGAGAGAGAGACCAAAATTGTTTAAATTTATAATGGAGAGACCATTTTCGTGAATCAGATAAAATAGAGGGACCAAAACTATAATTAAGTCTATCATTTTTGCTGTAGTATTTCAAAAATTAAAAGTATGCAAATGATAAGCACTATTTTATCATTATATACAAAATCTTTTTTCTAAAAAATGTTAAAGATTTTTCAATATTTTTTAAGAAAATCATTTTTTAAGCTCTGATTCCCCTCCCCTACAAACTCCCTTTCATTTTTAATTTTGTTTAAACGCAAAAGTATGAGAGTGTGTTTGGATGAGGTAATTGAGAATTTTCAAAGAATTCAAAAGTCTAAGCAATTCAAATGATTCAATTAAAATTCATTTATTTTAATTTTTTTGTTTGTATGAAGTATTAAAATGATTTATTGTTACATTTTTAGGGTCATTTTCATAAATTTTAAAAAACTTGGGCCAAATTTAAAATATGAAAAAATAGGGACCAATTTGTAATTTTTGAAAACTTGAAGGGACCAATTTGTAAAATTTGAAAATTATTAGGGATTTGTTTGCAATTTTTTGAAAATTTTGAGGGTGAATTTGTAATTGTCATAAAATATGAGCATTATTTTGTATATTTTGAAAAATTAATAATAAACAATTTAAGATTGACATTATATAGAGTAAAGAAACAATTACAAATTCTTTTCTTGGTGTCATTTGAAAATCTTCAATTTAATTAGAATAAAATACTTCACAAATTTACATCATTTTAACAATTCTCCATATTTTTTATCCAAACAATGAATTTTGATCAAGTCATTTTAAATTCCCCCAAAAATTATTTTTCCTCATTAAAAATTCTAAACAATTCAAAAGATTCATTTGAAATTCAATGAGGAAGGAAGCTCGAACCTCATATCAATACTTCTCTTCGACTCTCTCATCACGTTTCCAGTATATAAAACTCACTTCATCTTGTTGTTGATGTATTTTTAGTTGTTGTTGTTGTCGTCGTCATTGTTATTGTTGTTGTTATTGTCATCGTTATTATTGTTGTTGTTGTTGTTTTTGTTGTAGTTGTTATTTTTATTGCCATTGTTTTTTAGACGGGGTATAATATAGTGTTTTTTATAGATATTTATAGTTGTTATTGTTTATTGTTATTGTCATGATTTTTGGGACTTAGGGTATAATGTAGCGTTGTTTTTTAAGTATTTTTAGTTGTTTATTGTTATTGTTGTATTATTTTGGAATTTTTATTTTTAATTTACTTTCAGAAGTTGTATGTTATTATGGATCGTAGTTGAGAGAGCTGATAGATTAAGTAAAAAGTATGATAATGGATTGATTCGATTTTTGGATTTGCAAAAAAAAAC